AAAAATGGGAGAAAACTCAACATGTTCATCTAATGTCCAGCCCTTCATGTGTCCACCTTGCAGGCTAGGTTTCAGCCACGCCAAGAGTGCATTTCATAAAGGGAGCCCAAAAACAAAGAAAGAACTGTAACCACCAGAAATAATTTGTTCTTTTGCAAGCTGACAAATGCGCATTTCCCTTTGGTGGATGGAAGTCCTTCTTGCAGCCGTTTCCCAATCTTACTATTCCCTGGCCTTGTTCCCAACTAAGCTCAGAGATCCTAGATGCCTGTTGATTGATCCTGTGCAACCGAAGAGGAGGCGTCCGTTGCCTTGTTTACAGCGAGAGGAAATCTTATCTCGAATACCGCCTGTGCAAACACCATACTGGGGCAGCCCAAACCGTAGGCCACACGGGGCTGTTTAAAGCATTTGCTGCCCCTGGACTCTCAGCTTCCATTAGACCAGTATAGTTTTTAATCTGCATTGTTTTTAGATAGGTTGTTAGCTGCCTTGAGTCTCCACTATTGGGAGAAAGGATGAGTAGTAGAAGTAGTAGTAGCAGTAATCCCAGGAACCTATGGCCCTCTAGATGTTGGACTGCAACTTCCATTAGGTCTCCTTGTCAGCAAAGTCAATGGCAAAACTGATGGGAGTTGCAATCAATAACTAGTCGTTCTCTGGGGTGGGAAAATATGCTCCCCAGATATTGTTGGACTGCAGCTCCCAGCACTCTGCTAGTGTTGATGAGCACTGCAGTCCATCTGGAGGGCCACACGATTCCCACCCTTTACATGTCAAGGCATAAAGTAAAAAGATTAGTTCTGGAAGGATCAGGCCCACTCATTTGGGGAGAACCAGGGCTGCTCCTGCCTCCCTCCCAAAACTGGAGCTCATTCCTGGAAATCCGCTCTTAGAGCCAAGGGGTAATTGACTAACGAGGAAGAAAGAGCTGACACTTCCGCCAAGAGGCCAGAGAGCCTTGGAGTAGAGGGAAACCAGACCTGGGTCAGCTGCGGAGTGGACAGTCCTCTCAGCTGGCAGTGCGGCCTTCCTACCATCTCCGAAGCATGTCTCTCGGAGCAGCAGCTTGCTTACTCTCTGCGGAGAATCCAGCCCCAGATCTGGATGGATTTAACATCTCAAACTCCAGAAGGTCTGGCCTTTGCTTCTGAGAACGCAAAAGGCCCATGTCCTTATAGGAGTCTTCAGATACTCAGAGGAGGCTTATTTTCTCATGGGCACATCTGGAGAGGACCAAAGGTGGCTGCTCTCCAGCTGTGGAATTTTGTGAATTTGGGGGGAATTTGCCAAGTGTGCATACACATCCAAATGTCAGGAATAAATTCCTCCAGAACACGGCCACACAGCCCAAAAAACCCACAGAATACTATGGATGCCAGCCGTGAAGGCCTTCGACTTCATATTGTTGGACTTTCCAAAACAGAACAGACTCACACCAAGCTCTCCAAACAACCCATGGCCAGGAGGCAGTTGCCACACATGTTTTAAGTTCCCCTATGGCAGTGGTCCCCAACCCCCGGTCCGTGGCCCGGTACTGGTCCGCAGAACATATGGTACCAGGCCACCCTGCTACTGCATCTTCTGTGTTTTGTTTTGATTTAATAATCAATGCGATGCTGCAACTCCCCCCCCAGTGGGCCGCGGAAAAATTATCAAACGTTGACCGGTCCATGGCAATAAAAAGGTTGGGGACCACTGCCCTATGGAAGCGGATGCCCATTTTGTCCAATGTGGATCAGCCATGCTGCAGGAGGGACTCTGCGCATGCATTGCCCTTGTGTTTGGATGTGCTTTGGATGTGTTTTGAAGAGTCCAACAATATGAAGTCGAAAGCTTTCACGGTGGTCATCCGTAGTTTTCTGTGGGTTTTTCGGGCTGTGTGACCATGTTCAGAAGATAATATTTATTCCTGACGTTTGGGTGTGCATGCACACTTGGCATGCATTCAGTTGCGCATTTGGTGCCTTGGGTCCCGTTGCAAAACACCGCCATTCAACACAAGGGCTGCTTAGTACAATCCACACGTGACTCCATGTGCAGAAATTTACACAACTTTGATGTCCGGCCATTATTTATTTAGATTATTTATTTATTTAGATATTTATTTATTGAATTTATAGCCCACCTTCCTCCCAACAATCACAACTTTATTGAATTTATACCCCACCCTCCTCCCAAGAAGGTCAGCTTTAAAAGGCAAAGCTAAAAAGTTTAGGATGAAAAGTTTTAACCAAAAATAAACATGTTGTAACACCATTACTTTAGGAAATGGAAGATAATTGTCCAAAGTAACAGTGTTACTTTAAACAATGTTTAAGCAGCAAAAAGTATCACTGTTTAAAGTAACAATAAAGACAGACATAATTTGGAGCATTTAAGGCAGGGATGGGGACTATGCATCCCTCCAGATGCTTTGGACTGCAAAACCTAGTATTCCACACCCTTGGCTATGCCGGAAAAGGCAGATGGGAATTGCAATCCAACTACCTCAACAGGACCATGTTAGAAGGATTACTGAGATATTAAATACACTGGAAAATTAAAAGCATGACACAAATGCTTTTTAAAGGTAGGTCGGTAGGTAGACAGGAGTTAATGACACAAGGAAGAAAGGAAGGGAGAGAGTGTTGCATTAATGGGGAACAATTGGCATGTTTCCCAGTTCTCTTTTTAACACTTTTTGCAACTGTGGATTTTAAGAACTCATTTTGCAATCCAGCCACAGAAAGTTCACTAAGCTCTGCCTTGAAGAGAAAACAGTCATCAATAGATTTTGTTGTTGTTGTTATTGTTGTTTGCCATTAAGTTAACTTCAACTTATAATGCTCCTTTGAATGAGAGACCTTCAGAAATCCAGGTCATCAAAGGCCTTCCTTGCTCAGGTCTTGCAAACTGAAAGAAGTGTGGTCCAAAACACAGTGCAGAAATAATCCAGTTTGAGACTGCTTTAACTGCCCTGGCTCAGTGCTAAGGAATCCTGGGATTTGTACTTTATTGTGGCACCAGAGCTCTCTGAAAGGGAAGGCTCTATGTCTCACAAAACTACAGTTCCCAGAATTCCCTAGCATTGAACCAGGGCAGTTAAAGTGGTCTCAAGATGGATTATTTCTGCACTGTGTTTTGGACCTTAATGTCTCCCATAATTGAGTCAATCCACCTGTTACGCCATCTTCCTCTTTTCTTATTGCTTTCCAGTTTACAATACATTATCAACTTTCCCACAAAAGCATTCTCATCTTTTCCAGTGTCTCAAGAGACATCTACAGATGCAGGGACCCATTTCAAGGCTGTGCTCTCGCCCAAAGATTCCTCCCTTCCCCTGAGAAATGGAGAAGAGGAGCCAGGCCTGAGATCTGGGAATGATAACAGGGCAAAGCCATCACCTTTAGGAAAAGTGGGAGCAGTTTTTTTTGGGGGGGGAAGCCTTCCCTTCCCATGGCCTATCCACCAACTTTGCTTGTATCCCACAACCGTCTGTGGACAAACAGGTTTTTGAAAACAGCACCAACCTGTCCAACCTCTTCAGGAAAAACAAAAATACAACAGGACAAGCATGAACACACCAGTCCCAAGGGCCTCTCTCAGAGCTCCTGCAACCCTCTGGAGAAATAACCTTTTTGTATGTTTTGCTTAACTTTGAAGACACTGGTTGGCATCTCCTGTGGTTTGGTCTCAGGACCCTCCATGGGTACCAAAATCTGTGGATGCTCAAGTCCCATTTAATACAGTGGCATAGTAATAGAATTCAAAGATATAGCCCTGTTAGTCTGTAGAATCAGTATGTGGAGAGATCTTGGAGCACCTTTGAGACTCACTGAAAGAAAGAAGTTGGCAGCATGAGCTTCCCTAGACTTCAGTCTACTTCCTCAGATGCATTTGGTGGCATGGAGGCCAGGCACAGACATATGTATGTGAGGATGTCGATTCAAATGACAAATCCTTTGTGCATGGAAATGAAGTGGCAGGTCCAGTCTTAACTATGGTCATTAGTGCACAAAGACATGGCATAGTAAAACAGTATCCCTTATATAAAATGGCAAAATCAAGGTTTGCTTTTTGGAATTTATATACATTTTTGGAGTGTTTTCAAGCTGTGAATGCTTGAATCTGTGGATAAAGAATGTCTGGATACAGAAGGTTGACTATACTTTTAAAAGATTTTCTATCCCTTGGCTCAGTCAGTCACTAATCAAAATGGAGATTATAGTGAAGAAGTCAGAAGAAGACTAAAAGAGCTGCCACAAACTAGATAAGGTTCTGGAATGTGGAGAGATATCATTGAATACCAAAGTCAGGATTGTCCATGCCATGATATTTCCAATTTCTGTGTATGGCTGTGAAAACTGGACAGTAAAGAAGGCTGACGGGAAGAAAATCAGCTCATTTGAAATGTGGAGCTGGAGGAAAGTTCGACAGACACTCTGGACCTCCAGAAATCAAATGCGTGGGTCCAAAAGATAATCAAGCCTGAGCTCTCCTTCGAAGCCAAAATGACGAATCTGATGCTATCAGGCTTCGCATGTATCATGAGACAACGTGACACATGGGAAAAGATAATGATAATGTTGGGAAATGTGGAAGACAGCAGAGATAAGAAAGAGGGAGCTCACAATACAGACCAATCCAGTGAAGGAAGCCCCAAAGGAGCTGAGCTGGGCTGTGAAGAACAGGGGCTCTTGGGGGTCCCTCTCTCTCTCATTCATTCATTCATTCATTCATTCATTTATAAGGGGAGCAGAAGTCACAGCCAGCTTGATAGCAAAAAACAATAGCATCCAACACACTTGTCAATGTTGCAAAGAGATAGTGAAAGAATCAGTCAATCTATTCTTGTTGTTGTGTGCCTTCAAGTTGTTTCCAACTCATAGCGACCCTAAGGCAAACCTATCATGATGTTGTTCTCTTGGCAGGTTTCTTAAGAGGGGGCTTGCCATTGCCATCCTCTGACTGAGGCTGAGAGAGTGTGATTTGCCCAGGATGACCCAGGGGGGGTTTAATGGCCAAGCTGGGATTTGAACCCTGGTCTCCGGAGTCAGAGTCCAACACTCAGGCCACTACAACACACACACACACATATATATATCTATATCATGATGTTCTCTTGGCAAGTTTCTTAAGAGGGGGTTTGCCACTGCCATCATCTGATGCTGATATATATATATATATATATATATATATATATATATATATATATATATATATATATATATATATATATATATATCTCACGCCAATCCCAGCCTGCTAACTCTGGCAACACTTGGCTTCCGTAGTAGTAAGTAAGTAAGCGAAAGGGCATCTCTCTCTGTCTCCTTGAGGCCTTTCCCTCTTTGCTCTGCTCCACATGGCTATAATCAAGACAAGAGCAACCTTGGATCTGCAGCTAGCTCTGTGACTGCACTGGCTCTGTTAATAGCTCACTTATTATGGTTTTTAAAGGCAAATGCAAACAGTGGATGGAGCATGGAGCAGGGCGTGCGTGTGTATTTCTCTCTCTATGTGTGTGTAGCTGCCTCAGCAGGTTCTGAGTCTTTAAAGAGCCAAAGAGCACTCCTGCCAACTCCCCAAAGGAAAACAAAGGGAAATTAAACATTATTACGGGCTGGGACAGAACCAGCCAGTTTTGATATTCGGCACTCCCACAAGCTCCAAGCCGGAGGTTGGCCAGATCCATGGAAAGGCGCCAAGGAGGGAGAGGATTGCAACCGGAGGAGGGAAACGCATAAGACGGAAAGGACTTGAAGGCACACAACAACAACAACAACAGTGTGTATGTGTAAGAGACAAGTGACAAACCTTGACTATCTTCAAAGCCCATCCTCAGCCACAATTCATTTTTAGACAAATGAGTCTGGTCACTGCAGTCCTAACACCATGGTGACTAGGAATCCCTGGGTTGCAACTCCCAGCATTCCTTACCCTTGGCTATGCTGTTTAGAAGGATGCTGGGAGCTGCAGTCCAACAACATCTGGAGGGCTGCAGGATTCCCTCCCCTGCCATATATAAGGACTGATCAGCCCCATAACAAGAACAGTGGCAAATTTATTTTTTCGTTGGAACTTCGCTATCATCCTCTTTAGGAAGGACTGTGTTTCCTGGATACACCGGGTGCATTAGGCCATTTGTATTAAATTAGTTCTACGCTGGGTTTTTGGAAGAGAACCAAGGTGACATTTTACCATTACCAATGCATTTTTTTTACATGGCTAAAAACATGTTGGCAAAAAGGCAGAGGTAAAGCCCAGGGCAAGGTGGCACACGCGTGGCCTCTCCGTGGCACCGGCTGACCTTCCACGGAGGACAAAGCCAGGTCCTGTTCTGGGCACTAGAGTCCTGGGAGGACAGAGGAGAGAAACTGTACAACCACAAGAGGATACTCAGGAGGTCAGTGGAGGACAAGGAAGGAAGGAAGGAAGGAACACAAACACAGAAACACACACACACAAACACACACACACAGGGAGCCAAAAGGCACTTTTGGCTGGAAGCCTTAAGACTCTGCCCAAAGGATGGAGCCACTCCAAGCCAAGCCCCAACGCTGTGGGTTTTCTTCCTGGACTGCATCCTGAGCATCATTTCCTCCCCAAGCGGGCTATACAAGGAAAACACACACATCGTGTGTGGGGGGGGGGGGAGTGAGAATCCATTACGGCAAATGTGCAAAAGCAAAGTTTCTCCTACAGAGTGAAAGTGAGAAGCTGCATTTTTGGGGTGCTTCACTTTCCCTTCACCCCCTACCCACCCTAGCAACAAAAATGAGGCTCCTTAGGTGCGCTCATGAGGCCAATTTTATTTCATCAGTTCTACAATTTGGAACAGAACCAAAGTGACATTTTACCTTGGTTCTGTTCCACCCAAACAACAACAGCAACAAAAATCCCTGCAGAAAGCCAACAAGTCAGGAAAAAGCACAACTGAATCAGAATCCTCTAGGATTCCTAAGGTTTAGCTGGCAGGTAATACCTCCGGCTGCATGTACTTTGAATTTCTTGTGAGAGAAAGTTCCAGGAGTCTCAACAGTGTGTGTGTGTGTGTGTGTGTGCGTGCGTGTGTGTGCGTGTGTGTGTGTGTATAGAGAGAGAGTGTCACTTGCTCTACACACTCACAACAAGGATGTAGCCACACTGCAAAACTGAAGCAGTTTGACACCACTTTAACTGCGATGACTCTGTCCTACAAAATCCTGGGATTTGTAATTTGGCAACAGCACGGAATATCTCACCAAACTGCAGATCCCCAGATTCTGTAAGATAGAGTCATGGCAGTTAAAGTGGGGTCAAACTGCTTTAATTCTGCAGTGTGGCTACCCAGCAAGACAGGAAAATGTCATTTCTTCATCAACTATGTTTGGAATGAACATTAATTTGCCTCCAGAGGTGAGAAAGATGTCTCATCCCTGGATACCCCAAAAAGTCAGTTTGAGCCTATATACTTCCAGTCTGATTCTGTGATTCTGTCACAAATGCCTCCTTGCTTTAGGCCAAAAACTCTTTCATCAGCCACCATGATTGAGTCTCCCTTATCCAAAATGCTTGGGAAAAGAACTGTCTTGGATTTTTTTCAGATTTTGGAATATTTGCACATACATAGTGAGATCCATAATCCAAAACTGTCCACATGGATGGCTGAAATAAGTGACACCTTTGCTTTCTGCCCAGTGGACACAAACTTGGTTTCATGCACAAAATGATTAAAATTATTATGTATAAAATTACCTTCAGGCAATGTGTATAAGGTGTACATGACATATAAATGAATTTCGTGTTTAGACTTGGGTCCCATCTCCAAGATATCTCATTATCTATGCATATGCAAACACAGGTATTTCAAAATCCAAAAAAAACCAACAACCCTGAAATCCAAAGCATTTCTGGTCCCAAGCATTTTAGATAAGGAAGACCTTGGGTTATGTTGGAGAGCAGGACTGCTGGGAGTTGCAGTAGTCAGTCGCCATCTGGAGGGCTGCAAGATTCCCAGGCCTTGGGAAAGAATGGCTGGTCAGACAAATCCAGACCCTTTCCCTCCCCTCCGCCACACATTTGCTGAAATGTTTTACTTCCAAATGCATCATGCACAGCAGCCTCAGGATGGCAAAGGAAAAGGCAAATGGATCGGCCCAATGCAAGTATCGCCCTTTTGTGGATTTGGGATGATACTGTGCTTTTCCATGTGGAATACCTTCACTAACTGAGCACCAGATAATTCTTGCCCCGGACCAATTTAGGAAAAACTCTGCTTCACACTTTGTGGGAATGCAACAAGGTACCATAGAAGGCAATTTTGCTCTTTGTATTGGTTTGTATCATGGTTATGTGCTGTTGCTACAAACGACAATGTGATTGTTGTATTATCTTCTTATCTGGAATTATTGTACTTTAACTGTGGGTTTTGTGGGTTTTCTTGTTTGTACTGTAATATGTTGTACTCCATCTCAAGCCCTGAGGAGAGGCGGGAAAGAAATAAAAATTTATTATTACATTTGGCCCTCCACATTTGAGGCTTTTTGCAGATCTGACTACTTGCGCTTTTGATTAATATGTTCTCTCTAGGGACCTCTAAGTCCTCCAGTGCAACTCTGCCAGGAGTTTACCATAGAGCAGTGCTGCAGAACCTAGACGTCCCTATAGAAAACACTTCTCTAGGCATTTGTAGGTCTTCCAGCATGATTTTATGATCAACCTCTGGCAGATGTTGACCACAGAGTTGCAATGGAGGACCTGAATATTCCTAGATAGGTGTTGCCTTAGAGAAAAAGAATAGTGTTGGTTTTTTTTTTTATTTGTGGGTTTTCCACATTTATGGGAGGGTCTTTCACCCCTAACCCCAGTGAATGTGGAAGGACCACATTATTATTATTATTATTATTATTATTATTATTATTATTATTATTATCATCATCATCATCATCATCATGGTCAACATGGCTACCCCGGATATGTTTTAAAGGGGAACCATGACGTCCAAAAACAGAAGTTGGAACAGGGGAGGAGGACTTCTGAGGAAGCCAAGGGATCTCCTCCAGAGAGCGGTCGGTCATTCATGCCGGTGCCCAAAGCGTAACCTGACCTCGGCATCCCAACCGTCGTAGTAGTATCCACAGAGCAGAAGCCAAGCGTGCCTCTCTCTCCGAAGGGCAGGTAGCCAGCTGGCAACCAGAAAGGCTCCCAGAGCTCCCAGCCTCCTTCCTTCCTTCCTTCCTTCCAGCAGCTGTTCTGAGTCATAAGAGAGAGAGAGAGGCAGAGGAGGATCCCAGGGAAGAAAAAGATGACCGTACTTTTGCAGCCGGTGCCTTTTGCTCGCATCCACTCCAGCGGTCTCTCCAGAACCACATTGAGGAAAAGGTGGAATAGCTAATAGTAGAGCACCAAGGAGGGCCCTTCCCATGGCTGGGTTTAATACTAGGAATGGAGGTTTTGCAAAGTTGCCAACTGCTTTGAAAAGAAGGAGGAGTGATAGGAGTCTGTTGTTGTTGCTGCTGCTGTGTGCTTTCAAGTCGTTTCTGACTTATGGTGACCCTAAGGGCGAATCTATCATGAGGTTTTCTTGGGAAGTTCCTTCAGAGGAGGTTTGCCACTGCCATCCTCTGAAGCTGAGAGAGTGTGACTTGCCCAAGGTTGCCCAGTAGGAGAGCAGGGATTCAAACCCTGGTTAACATTCTCTGATGCTTCAACCTGGTGATTTATTTAATATTCTTTTCTCCTATGTAAATTATTATTTGTTGGGTGGTGTTTTTTTGGTCTGGGATTGCTTTCAACTGCTTATGTTGCTTTAGCTGCATGCTGCCCTAGACCTCAGGATAGAGGGTGGAATAAAACTATTTTAATACATTGATGAATACGGTAATTAAATAAAAAGGAGAATTCGCTCCTAAGCAGATGAGACTATGGAGGAGGCACATTGCCTTAGGCAGCATATGAAATTTTCGGCTTCTGTGCAAAATCACACGTTTCGCAAAAGAGTTCCTGGTTGTCTGCAGCTGCCTCTCCCCAATTTTTTCCAGCAGGCATTCCAACACATGGGTAATCTTTGATAAAAGGCAGGCCTAGGCAAAGAGAAGGCCTAAATACC